AACCTCATTCACCAGCTATGTGCTATATGTTGCTCATGCCAAGTGATCCACAATAGAAAGCTCAGTGACACCTTTGAAGTGAAGACAGGAGTATAACAAGCTTGCCTGCTATCACCGACAATCTTCCTGATTGTTGTGGTGTACTCGACTGGATCATCCAACAAAGTGTGAGGGATGAGAAGAGGGGCATACGCTGGTTGGACCGATGAAAAGACTCCACAAGAATATTTGGATTTCACCGACGATGATTACTGTCTAATGTCTTGTCGCACAAACTTGAAGGCCTACAGGCGAAAATTAATAAGTTGAGAGAAGAGAAGAGGCAGGGCAGGGAAGGAAGATGGGTCTTCATTGTGATGAACATAGAGAAGACAGAGGTGATGAAGATAATCAACCACCACCACCACCACCAACAACAACAACAACAATAAGCACCAATCACGATGAACGGGAGAAATCTGAAGGAAGTAGTCTCTTTCACCTACCTAGACAAGGGAACATCGTTTCCAATACAGGCGGCATAGGCAAAGATGAGGATGTCAAAGCCACGATCTGGAAGACAGCAAGATAGGCGTTCATTACCTTGAAATCAGTGTGTAGTTCTACTACACTGCACTGCACTCAGCATAAAGTGTGAGCAGCATCCGGGTTTACAACACCATCGTCAAGTCAGTGCTCCTATATGGCTCAGAAACTTGGCGTGTCACGAAAATCATTTCTAATAAACTACAGAGATACGTGATCAACAGCTGCCATCTACGCTGACTCTATACTGACACCGAAGATGGAGATCAGATGACCAGAATAATAAGAATAAGCAACAAGGAACTCATTCTGGCCTGGCAACCAACAAACCAATAAGCCATGGCTCAACAAATGTGCAGTAGAAGAAGGTGAAGATGGATTAGATTGGATTGGGCCTACACTGAGAAGACCATTTGGGGACATCATGCGTCAGGCGAGGCCAGGCATTCGAGTGGAAGCCAAATTGGAAACGACGAGTTGGGAGTGTGAGCCAAGTGTGACATGGAGGAGATGATGTGATGAAGAAATGAGAGCTTCTGGGTAGTGGTGTATTCAGATTAAAAAGTCTACAGAGAAGAGAGTGAAATGGCGACGTGCTACTGAATCTGTATGTTCCACTAGGAAAGCAAAGGACAAATAGTAATACTAATGTTGGAAGAACTGATACGCTTCTACAGAGTAATGTAATTGTAAGCCATCACTGAGTTGCCTGCATTTTGTCAGCTATAAAGACTAAGGCATACCGTACAGATTAATATCGACTGATCTATCACTGCATACAGTGGAACAACATCTGTACATACACACACACACGCACACACACACACACACACACACACACACACACACATATATATATATATATATATATATATATATGGGTTCTGTTAATCCAAAATGTTTTCCCATCACTGGTTAAGTCTCAGATATGCTAAGAAGCATTCAGTATGGCTGATTAGAGCAGTTGAAAAGTATTCAAGATTTGTATCAGTGTTGGAAAACACGATCATCATTTGAAAAAAGACTTATTAGTACTTGGTGAGTAGTATTATTTTATTTCCATACACTAAATAGTCAAAATAATGAAAATTAATAAATGACAATTCAGCGAAGAGAATTTTTTTCCGATTAATCATTTTTAAAAGCGCTGTACAGCTTAAAACAAAATGATTGACGAGTCAATACAAAGTTATCAAAAACTGTCAGTAGTCCCTGTACATCCATCCTCAATGGTTGACTGCTAAGATTATGTAAACTGTTGCGAGATTTTATTGAAAGCAAGAGGAAATAAATCTGTTTTTATTACTGTTCAAAAGAAACTGCTCTCCATGAAACTATAATTTAATCGCAGTTGTAATCAGAGAAGTTTTATATCAGGGGCACTTTAGGGTCATTTAAGAGGATTTTCTGTGAAATGGAGCTCTGTCTATCATTCTCCAGCTGAAAAAATGTTGTTATCTACTTTTGCTATTCTATGTGTGTTTAAAAGTATAGCTGCTCTTTTGAAGAAAGCTATAAAGGGTCTACTACGAGACAACTTAACAGACGTGTTTCTCAGCTTCTATCTTCATGATTGGAAACATCAGAAGTTCTGTTTTATCTCATCTAACTGATAGTGGTCACCTGATAGATAAGAACAATGATTTGATGATTATTCACCGGATATCACCTAATCTTTCTTTTGAACTCATCTTTTGCAATACATAGCAAAAGCTATGGGAATTCAACCTGATAATCCTAGTCTTTACATCGCTTGACCAAGGAAAACTTAGTAAAAAAAACTTTATCATTGAAATTTTTCTATACATTTTCTTTATACATTGTCTATCCACTCATTTCGTCGTTTGCTACTACACAACTTTCACATTTCAAGTGTTCACCTACATGTATTGTTTGAATATCTGTTATGTCATGCTGTTCCCCTAATCTCATATCATCACTGAAATGACCATTACTACTACTACTACTACTACTACTACTACTACTACTGCTGCTGCTGCTACTACTACTACTACTACTACTACTACTCACACTACTACTACTACTACTATTCTTATTGTTACGATTACCATTATTATCTGGACATTTACTGTTTACACAATCTTAGGGGGAACAACACATCACTCAGCGGGATACAGATACATCCAGTTGATAAGCCCCCAAAAAGACGAAACGTGCATTCTGATTTCCACTCCTAGTCACTATTGATTAATAGTATCAGATTTGAAAAGTGCTAGCAGTATCTACTGAGGTATTCCCAAAATAGCCTATATTATCAGTAGTTGCTGAACAATTCCATCCAATCAGGTAAGGAGATTCGTAAGTTATAACATCAAAAAATATTTGTACACTTCATTTCTTCATTACCATAAACACCATAGTATCCACTATGATTCGATTAATCTTTTATATGTGAGTAAATTTCTAATGTATTAGAGTAAAACGTGATGAGAAGTAATGGAAATTACTATTTGTTTGTATGTATGAATAATCCAGAAATATATAAGTTCACCTATCTTATTCATAATCATGATAATTATCCAATATAAACAGCGTAATGAGAAGACGAAGATTATCTGAAACATGTGATGTATTAGCGCTATACATTTCGAACAATCTGATCACACATGGACTTGTCGAACTATTTATATGAAAATTTACGAAAAGGTCAATGAAGTTAATAGGAAACATAGGAATAGGAAGGGATAGAAAAGGAAAAGAAAAACATTCTTGGTATGAAAATTAAAATCAATACTACCATCTGTAAAACGTATTATGCAACTAAGGTCATCATTGTAGAGAAGACCAAGTCCATGTTACAGCACAAACCGAAACAACATATAAACGATTACATCACATCCCACTGTGTTTATCAATTTACATATATGTGAGGACACACATATATAGGGAGGAGTAATCGTGATATGCAGTTAAGGAAGGCTGAACATGTACCTAAGTGGCTACAAAAACAAATGACCTCAACAGATCCGATAAGTGCAGGTGACAAACATCCATCTCCGTCTATCGCTAAACATATACTAGAAACTAACCATAGGATAGACATGAAAACAGCCTTTAAAGTACTATATAAAAGTGGTCAGAGCCGAGTGCTTAAATTTATTGAAGGTCTTGCCGTCCGTAAATTTAAACCCCCTTTATGTATACAAAAACAGTTTGTACTCACGTTGAACCTACCTTGGTAGTATTGATTTTAATTTTCATACCAAGAATAAGGTTTTTCTTTTCCTTTTCTATCCCTTCCTATTCCTATGTTTCCTATTAACTTCATTGACCTTTTCGTAAATTTTCATATAAATAGTTCGACAAGTCCATATGTGATCAGATTGTTGGAAATGTATAGCGCTAATACATCACGACATGTTTCAGATAATCTTCGTCTTCTCATTACGCTGTTTAAATTTATCAAAGGGACCAGTTGCTTTAAATTATCCAATAGATTGTTTTTATGGATTGAATTACTTCAAGGTAGTATTTATCATAAAGTGATATCCATTAGAGAATTACTGAAAACTTGAGAGCACTACATAACTGACTGATCCTAGTATGGAATTCCTCAGAAGTATACAACCATAACCTCACCAATTCTGATGGTATTGTATTATTGCCTTCATTAGTAACTAGTGAGTCGTTAATTAATAGTAACTATTCCTTTGTTAACTTGAAAACTGTTTTACTTGAGTAATCTTATGAGTATCCTAAGAGTTACCTCTTGTATAAGGCGAACAAAGTGACTGATAAACAATTTCATAGTTTTTTTGAAGGTGAAATAACTTTATAAAAGATAATTGAGTGGAGATTTCCTTTCATTGAAATGTACAATGCCTACAATTAGTATTTCTTAAGACCAAAACACTACAAACGCTTAGATAAATCATACAAACACCAATAAATTAATTTCATCTATTATTTGATAGGTGTAGAATAAGAAAGTTTCTTAATGCATTTCAAATAATTTTCACCTTTTCATTCTGAATAGATAATTTTGTGAATTCCAGTTTAAATTTAAGGTTTTATTCAATAGGCCGCATAAAAAGCACACGCTTTCCAAACATATCTTGGAGCACTTTCCTGCATGGTTGTCGCGGGGAGAATGTAAACTAATCAATTGGTCAACTCTGCACATAAAGCTCCTTCAGTGTCTTCTATCGTGTCAAATGGAATAGTACAAAAAGGGATACGCCTTCGAAAGTTGTGCACAGAGGAGGCACTGGCAATTCATCAATTCAAGCCTGATCTCTGTGTGCAAAAGAAGTATGTTCAATCTCTCATCTTACCATGGTCTTAACACTTCCACAGATCTTTATCGATTTCATTATAATTAATTAGCTTACTGTTATTATCACCTTCATTATCACCTTTGTCTCATTCTTCACCCCTTCTTTACATCTATCTAATCTATCAAGTGGACACTCAATATTTGCGTTTCTTATCTACCAACAATTTTCACCTTGTCTAACTCCTTGCCTTCTTCGATATTTCTACTGTCTTAGTTTACTACGCAACTACTTTGCATTCTTGATTCGGGGTTGTTTTTACCACTAGGTTAATGATGTAATTATATCCTATTGTTTTATAATAGACTGTTTATATGTTTATGATATACATATAAATACGATTGTACAGAAAATGATGTCGTCGAAAAAGAAAATTTTCTTCGCTGAATTATCTGCTGTTTCTTTCCACAGGACTCAATGGGCATGTTTCGTAGTTTATTCAATCTATTCGCTGTTTTGTATCTTTTACTGATTGATAACTGTTTTAAAACAGGGAGATATAAAACATTTGAAGTAGTCATTAAGAGTTGTAACGATTCATTAGCGTACTGCACAGTAACAAACACAAATGAAATGATCGAATACTAGATGCATGTATTGATTGGTCACTGGAGTGCAACCAATTTCATGTTGTCTAGTCCTGAGTGCCGATTGCCTCCAACCAACTAACATCTACTAATGTGCACCACGATGCTGAGCTTCCTAGCTTGGTTGCCACATTGCAAATATGATCGATAGAAGTCGGTCGACACTCAGGACTAGACAACATGAAATTGGTTGCACTCCTGTGACCAATGAATACATGTAAGCCAGCCCTACACGAGGTCAGTTGTGGTCCGAATAGCTCAGTGGCAATGTCGCTAACTACGACACTGGGTGACGCGGATTCGGATCTCTGGCGGGGCATCATTCCCGTCGAGGTTGCAGATACGACTTGCTGACGAGTGCTAAAAAGCACGAGACCTAGATTGAGCAGGGCTTCCTGCCGATCGCTTCCAAACCAACTAACATATACTAGATGCATAATTTACAAGGCGTCCAAATAATACTGGGCATCTTCCAAAGCTTGTCCTTTGAAAGTAAACATCTCCGCGTCGTTAACTATCACTTCCACATTTGTTTTATCGGTTTACAGACCTACATATTTAATCATATCTAATCAAATAATTTCTACTGTAAGTTATTGGTCAAAGTAATTCTCTTGCATGTTGCATTTCATTCTCACGAAATACTGAGTAACACAAAAACATTCTAACATACTTCCATGAATTTAATGTACACCTTTTATTCAGGAATGAGTTTTTATATGACTCTGCTTAATTTTTTCATCTTTGGAGTAATTTCTAAAGATAGAATCTTGATAACCCAATATAGACAGTAACAACCAACATAGAACCTCTCATGCAAGTGTATATGTTCAAATTGTCACACTTCATAGTAGTATATAAAGAACAGATGGATAGAAAAAGAAAAAGTTGTATGACAGAATGAACAATTCGAAGATAAGCGTTGCTGGAAACAAACAAACTTGGAGAGACGTCATTATGACCGATTTTTAACCGTTTCCTCAAGAGTTCTCAACTACTGATTCCTTTCGTCTCGGAGAAACAAGTCATATAGTCTGTACCTCCCTACATACCTCAGACCACCACTCAGGGACTTCGTGAACTTGTTCCATGTCTTAGTCTGAGTATACTCAGCCGTCTTCCAACTTAGCCCAGCTTCTCTTAGCACTGCGTGTCAAGGTAGGCGATGGCTAGGCATGAGCTGTACATATAGAGGCATTCTCTTATCTACATGATTTACTCTACCTTTTCGATGCTTCTGATTGCACCTATGGACGCCTACAATTGGTTTTTAATATACTGAAGGAGTAGATCACGTCAATTAGTCAGAAATCGTCTGGCACTGTCATTAGTGACTTCAAACATTTGTGTCATAGGTGGTCTTGTTCATTCTGAAACCTTACTCATTCTAATACTAACCTTCATAATAGGCAATACTTTGATCGTTTCAATCAAGACCAGTTAACAACCTCACTGAACAGCTTATTATCCCAATGTATAACCCTGTAACTGAACTTTAGAATATTCTCAGAAGTATGGTAACAGAGTGAACGACTAAATACAGTGTTGTCACTTTGATAAGGAGTTAAACTACTCTCAAACAGTATAGTTGTCAAAAGTGGGTAAATTCTGAACATCTTTTTTCTATTTTACTCTCAGGAGATATCGAAAATAGACCTATGATGTTATCGTCCTAATACGGGACTTGTCAGCAGTACGCGCCTACTACACGGTTAGGGATCGAACTAAAGACCTTCAGCTACTGGGTCGGAAATCAATAGTGTACAGTTTCTTACTTCTCTCTATTCGTGGAACAGCTTGACTAACCAGTAAAGTCTTCAGTTAGCATCTACATCACTTTCGACTGATTGACCCCCTATTCATCATGGCTGCTCATTAGGACTTCAGGATATTCATTTCTAAGCATGTCATTAATGAGCACTATACAGTAGTGTAGTTTGTGTTTTCAGAAGATTTTATATTTAAGGTTGACAAAATAAACTACGACACCGATTATACTTAAAACTGAAGTGAATAAAAGTCAACTTTGTAGGATCATTATACACTTGACAGGTGTAGAATGTATTGACTCAAAGGATTCAAGATAAAAATCTTGTACCAATGGATTTTCATGGCTTAGTGATAATAATCAAGCCTTACAAAGATGTCAGAGTCTTTTTTTATCTATCAACTACACAATGAACAAAAGTAGATTGCGTGGTTCAAGTTAAATATAACAAAAATTTAAATCATATGCCTTTTTATATACGTTATCCATAAACCATCTATTATCTTTTACTTTACAAGAACGAATACCATATAATTCTGGCTCACTCATCTTCTTCTCCATCATCTTCAGCGTCTTCGCCTTCTACTTCGTCTTCTTCTAATACTCGTTGCCTTGCCTTTTCTTCTTCGCATTTTCTAGCCTTTTCAGCTTCTTCGTACTTTTTCAGTGCATAGTCTTCAGCAGTGCTGATTGTTTTCAAAATAATTGATTCTATCTCTTCAATACGAATAGTATTAATAGCTTTAAGTGTTGTTGCGTCTGTAGCTGCTTTGATTCGTTCTCTTTCAAGCGCTGCTTTATGAGCTTCTTCAGCGGCTATTTTACGAGCATTCTTTACAAGTAATTCGTTGGTTTTTGTTTAAGTCAGTCAATTAAAAAAATATCAAAAGGCAAATCAATGAATATTTCACTGATAAACATAATCTTTTCAGTAGTTATACATGATAGTAAAACTTTATCTGTTGTTTGTAAGCAACTATTTGGACTTAAACATTCAGGGAATCGGGGTACACTACTTGAAAAAATATAAGTAGTATAAATTTTTAAGACAATTTAAATAGAAACGCGACAGCAGAATAATCACTATGCCTGACAATAACTTTTAATACAGTAGGAAATTCACAGCGTTATATTTACATATTAACTCCTTGTACAATATTTTCGAATTAAATACATATTACAACTGTATAATAATGTTAATAATAGAAGTGTGATCAGCAGTAGTACACAAGGACCAATTGTTTTTTAGGTTATCGTCTAGTTTATAGGTATGTTGTTGCACCCGTAGGTTTGATGGTAGGGGATTATTGAACCAGCATCAAAATTTGCAGTTCCTGTTAACTATCCATGTAGTAGATATGTGATGAACTTTTTTCGAATTCAACAGCCCACTGACTCTATCTGCCATGATATTATTTTGAACTTTTGTTGTCAACTTGTATGACAACAAGTTGGAGACATTTTAAGAATGTGTGACAAGTAAGAATAGAGTATTTTTGATGAAGAAACATTTTAGCAATCCAAATTTTGAGCAAACCACCAATTTGGTGCCATAGGTGGACAAAAAGAACAGATTCCTTTTGCTGCTGAAGAAAACACCCATTGTTTTTCCACAAGTTGATGTTGATAAAATATTAGGGAGAATGAAATACAGAACATGGAAGACTATATTCTATTCAACCGTTTCGTGTATATCAATGAAGCTATTGACAAAATGTTTATCTTATATGTTTAGTTGTGTAGCCGTCTTCATGAGCTTACTAGTTACTGCTCAAAAGTGTCAGTTACTTGCGCCGTTTACTTAATCGATTTTTGTTGATAATTTATGCAAGCTTTGATATTGTAATTTACATTTATGCTCATAGAAGTCATCAAAGAGTAAATAAAGAGTTCCATTTTATCGTCTAAGCTTCGTTTCAGTTGGACGTTTAGACTAAGGAACCTATGGCTCACCTAGTGATGTGTGAAAATCCCAGTGCGAAAACACTTCAAACTAACTTCAAATCAAGTGATTTACCACGATGATACACAAAGTCATAAACATCGTGAAGACGAACTATTTGTGCTCCTCACCGTTTACGTTGATCGCATGAATAAATTGATAACTGTAATTGCAAGCCCTAATGTCTGAACAAAGCTGGACTCGCCTATGCTGTGCACATGCTGATGAGTCAAGAATAAATTCAGGGCATGACATGACATTACTTAAATTCAAAGTTCACCTTAGTAATTACTGAAGCGATTTCAAACTCCAACTCAGCAACTGCAGAATTAACCAATCAGGTTTCGACATTTAGCTGGCGGAAGTACTTTACTATAAAATAAAGGAATGCGATTGGCTATCTCACTAGTCGCTCGACTTTAAAGGCCACCACAGCAACAACTGAAATCAAGAATCAAGCTTCCGGTATTTTGTGTAAAACTACTTTTCTGACAAGAATACTGAAAGTTAATTGGTTATTACAGCTGTTTCCAGGGTGGCCTTTAAAGTCACTCTAAAAGTACTCAAAATAAAGAAATTTAATTGGCTGTCATATCAGTTACTAAGGCAGTCTTTAAAGTGAGCCATCTGAGCAACTTTAAAGGTCCTCCTAGCAAGCGCTGAGATAACCAATTACATTCCCGTATTCTACGAGAAACCACCTATTCCATTGAAATTCTCAAACCTGATTGACTATCTTGAGAGTTGCTAGGGTGACCTTTAAAATCTGTCAATTACAGTAATAACGATTTCAATTTCTTTATCTTGAGAAGGTAGTTGTTTTTTAAAATAAGGAAACTCGCTAATCACTAGAACAGCCTCCAAAATGGCTAAGACATTCATTATGTTTTCATAGTTGATACCTTCTTACAGCTGAATAGCATCATCACAACACACACACACACACACACATTCACACTAATAAGCTATTTGGGTTGTAAAACGAGAAGTGTAATCTACAGTTAGTCGACGAATGCTTTTCCTACGCTTAGGTATGAAACAATAATTGCCTTATTATGAGGTTTACGTGAGTTTTATTTTTAAGAACTGGTAAATATCTGGAAGCATTAAACTGCTGTTTTGTTCCCGTACGGCACTCTTCAGCAGTATGCTCCGATAACCCTACCAGGCGTCGAACTCAGGACCTCCATGTCTCACAGCAAACGCTTCACCTACTTGAATACCGAGTCTAGGTTCAGTCGTCCACAGATTCCTATTTTTATCAATTCAAAATATAACCTGAGCAGACATCGAGTTCTTCCATTTCGACTGATTGACCCCTACTGATCATCGCTTTGCACTAAAACTTTGGAATATTCATCTAGGGGCATGACATTAATGAGTACCATACATTAGTGCAGTTTCATTTTGATGAGGATATTATTTTGAAGTTCCTTTTCATAACATATAGATAGGTGTAGGGGAACCTGAACCACCTTCGGAACAAAGAACGTTTTTTTTAAATTGAGTTTCGAAGAGTGATGTATACTATCACTCTACAATATATGCATAATTCGGATTTCGCCGATGATTTGTGTCTAATGTCTGGTCACACAAACTCGAAGATCTACACGCAAAATCCAACAAGTTGACAGAAGAGGTGAGGCAGGGAAGCGAAGATGGGACACCATTCCAGTGAATATAGAGGAGACACAGGTGATAAAATAACCAACCAACACCAACACCACCACCACCAACAACAACAACAAGCTCCAATCACCATCAACGGGAGAAACTTAAAAGAAGTAGCCTCTTTCACCCACCCATCTAGGCAAGGCAGCATCGTTTCAACTACAGGCAGCACACGTACAGACGAGAATGTCAAAGTCAGTCAGGATGGGAAAGATAGCAAGACAGGCATTGATTAACCTGAAACCAATGTGGAGATCCTCTGCACTCAGTATAAAGTCTGAACAACATCCTGATTTTCAACACCGAGGTCAGTGAAGTCAGTGCTTCTGTGTGATGGTTGAGAGACTTGGTGCGTTACAAAGAGCACTCTGAACAAACTACAAACATTGATGAAGAAGTGCCTACTTTGACTCGTTACTGAAGATTAGATGAGCAGAGTAATAATAATAAGCAAGAAGGAACTGGCTGGCTACCTGGCCGGCTACCTGGCTGGCAACGAACTAACCAACCAACCAACCAAGAACCTATCATTCAACAAATATGCAGTGGAAGGAAGTGGAGATGGATTGGGCATGCACTGAGAAGACCATTCGGGGACATCACGTGACAGGCCAGGCACTCGAGTGGAATCCAGAGGGGGAAGCGACGAGTTGGGTGTCCGAGGTGAGGGTTAGATGGAGGAGATGATGTGAGTAAGAAATGAAAGGTGGTAGGCGGTTGTTGAGCCAGGTTGAAACGACTGCAGAGAAAATAGTTTAATGGATATATGCAACTGAATCCCTATGTTCCACTGAGAACCCAAGAGGGAAAAAAATAATAATATATGCATATTATGCAAAGTTGGATCATTAAACGAAGACTAAAGCCTACCATCTGGTGAACATACTTTGCAGAGAACATCAACTTAACAGAGGAAACGATAGTTAAATACAGTTGTATACTTTAAGAAGATTTGAACAAAACGGTTATATTCAGCTACATCGATCAGTTTGTATATGTAAGTATATTCTCACAAACATAAAAAAGACCCATCGATCTCTTCAGGTAAGAATCACAGAGCACCATTCCAAAACAACTGGAATAACAAATCAAACTGAATCATCCTATTCAGTTAAACAATAAATCTTCAACTTTATCTGGAGCTGAATATATCATTGAAATAGATCACATAATTGATTTTTTTAATGCATATTTCAGACGTGTTTACAAATCGAATCGAGGATAATAATTTGAGTTGATTGAAGCTTCACTTCTATAAGGAAATTGACATGTATTTCGTGTATTCACAAACAATTTGTTGTTGGATTAAACTTGTCCTGGTAACTCAACTTTAATGTGCTATCTTTCGCCTCCTGTTTAAACTGACAGTTTCACTGTTCACTATATTCATTATTCTTAAACCCTATTTATTCTTTAATATATATGATAATATATATGCACTGAGAAGACCGACTGGGGACATCACTCACCAGATCAGTTCCTCGAGTGAAACCCAGATGGGAAACGACGAGTTGGCCTCCCACCTGAGGGTGACATGGAGGAGATCTTGTGAGGAAGAAATGAGAGCTGGTGGGCTGTTGTGGAGCGACGCTCAAAAGATTTCAGAGGACAGAGTGGAATGGAGACGTGCTAGTGAAGACGTATATTCCACTAGGAACCCAAGGGACAAACAATAATAATATATAATTCATACTAGTATGGAGGACAAGTGAGTGAGTGTGTGTGTGTGTGTGTGTGTGTGTGTGTGCTTAAGTAAATTGTTTCAACAAATACATCACACATCCTTTCAGATAGACTACATCTTTTTATCATTCTGTTTTTAGAATGCAAATATTCTTTCAATCTTCTAAGAATACGTTATACATTTAGTTCCCTTCAGAAATTTGAACAATACAATAACGTGGATATTTGTAGAATAAAATGAGCTCATTTCATTTCACAGCCTTTCATCAACTACAAACAGTCTACACTCGAAATAAAGCATTACTAGTAATAATGACATAAATATGTAGAAATAAATGGAGATTTGAAATCCAGGATTAACAATAAAGTAGTGAGTGAGTCAAGGAAACACGCAATTAATAGTTACATATGTTAATCAAAATCTATGGCTAAATATATCTGATGAGGTTGAAAATTCTGGAGCTGTGGAGTTGTGGGCAGGAAGGGGAGGGGACAACAAACATTGATGTAAAGGAAGGGGTTGTTAAAGTGTCACT